TAAGTACAATAGTCTGGATTTGTATTGCAAAAAATTGCAGCTCCATCACTAGATCCGTTGCTCAGATAGGTACATTTTATTAGCTCCATATAAGAACTTACAGCTAGACTTTAAGATTTCTTTCCTAAATATAACAAAATATGTTTAAAACACCCTTCCCAGTTTATCAATTGATCAACTGATGTTTTATTTCTCTCTGTTTTCTCCTTCACACATCCCTAGCTCAGGGGTAGACAACCTTTTAGCAGCACTGTGCCGATAAAGTATTGTGATGTCCCTTAGCGTGCTGATCCTATTTTTTTAAATTGAGGTGTGTATGCTGCCGTGTTCTGCTTGTGTTATTTTTACTGTAATTGCTTTGTATCGTTGTATTTGTGCGTTTATGAGCTATTATATTGTATATGTTCATTAGTAGTTTATGGTATCGTGTATGATACATATGAATGTGGGCTGTGTATGGATATGTCACATTGTGTGTTTGGTAGTGTGTGGGGGCTGTTTGGGGTATTGCATGTGAGAGGCTTCCTATGGGGTTGTGTGCATGTATGTGGATTGTTAGTGGTGTTGCGTTTGTGGGGATTGTGTGTTGTGCGTGTGTGTGGGCTGTTCATATTATTTGTATGAGGGGAGGGTTATTCTGCATTTCTTTGTATATCTAGCAGTGTGGGTGGGTTCCCTGGGTTCCAGTGGGGACTAAGAGCTGCGATAGCTGTTGAGGGCTGCTCTACTACACTGTGGATTCCCATTCACAAGTGCTGGGAGGAAGTGATCTGAGATCACTTTCTCTATGTGCTGCAATGCATAAATTGAGGATTGTCCTTCACCACCTCTTCGTATTAGCAGATATCTGAAGTTTTACTGGAACTCCTGATAGGCCAGAGTGCATTTGGCTCTAGCAGCCTTGAGTGCCGTGCAAAGACACCTCGAGTGCCGTGCATGGCACTAATGCCGTAGGTTGCCTACCCCTGCCCTAGCTTATCCCATCATTTTGTCCTTCCTATATCTGACCCCAGTTCTGCTTCTTTTCTTTGCTTTGAACACCACACTTTTCTTTTCTTCGCTGTATTTTCAAATTCTGTTATTTGGACTAACTTTACTTTGATCCTTTTCCTTCTTTCATTTTCAAGTCCCCTCATTTAGGCTACCCCCTACAACTATATTGGAAAATGTTTTTGGGGTCATTGATTACAAATTATTATACACGTTTGGATTTTATAATGTTAGCATATGCTTTTTATAACTGAATCCAATTCTCCACCTATTCTTCCATCTATTTACTTTGTTATACAATGCAATTCAACTCCCTTGCAATGTCATTTTTTTGTATTGCTATTGACCTTTGAAGAAATTGTTAAAAAAAATATGAAAACAAAATCTGTTACAAGTTTCTAGATGTGTATTGTGTTTGGTCCTCTGCTAGTAGGTAGTTATAAAATGTGCAAGAATGTGTGTTTATACAAACTAATCAAATGTTATTCTTATATTACCTAACTTACTAAGACCGTGATTTAATATTTTGAGATGCACTTTTAAAATGATTTAATATATTGATAAATATTTTGATCTTTTTGATATTTTGACACTGGTGTGCAGATATTTGTGTTAAACAAATATCTGCACACAAGTCAAGCCATAAGACTTGCTCTTCCCAAATGATAAATTTGCAGTGATGTTACTACCGCAAAGGATTCTGGGTGGGCATATGCAAATTAGTTCAACGAGGAATCGCTTTTTTGCCTCATTCCATTTTAAACATGGATTACTTTGAGTCTGTGTTTGCTGTATACAACAGCTTTGAAACACAACTTAGGAAAAGATGCAAAGCCAGTGAACCACTTATGGACAGCTGTTTCATTGTCAATGCAAATCATTAGCATGAGGTTGGTTATTGGCTTGCTATTGAGGCTTGGCAGTACTTGCGAAGCAAAAACCCAAAAGTTTATGGTGGTGGAAATTGTGATTGAAAACCCCTTCCACCTGAAATCAGTGGATAGTTAATACAATGTGAAACAAATATCTGCACACCAGTCAAGCCATAAGGCTTGCTCTTTCCACAGAAATCAAAAATTTACAGTGATGTTAATGCCGCAAAGGATTCTGGGTGGGCATATGCAAATTAGTTCAACAAGGAATCACTTTTATATATTTAAATATAATATTAATATATAAATATACACATTTTTATATATATATATAAAAAATATTTTAATATTTTAGAAAAATCATTTTAAATGGTTATTGAAAAATATTAATTTATTTGAAAAGCTAATCCCAAACCCAAAATATTTAATCCAGGTATAAATGAATAGCTAGAAATTTCCTGTCAAATCTCTGTAATACCTCACTCCCAGCCACATTTCCTAAACTATGTCTCATTATTTGCCATTTAAATGTTTGATCATATAATGCAATAAACACATTATAATTACTTATGCACAAAAACATGTATCCGTTCTACGATTAACCTATTCAGGACTGCTAAGCATTGGGTAATTTTAAAGTTAATGTTATTATGCTTTCTGACTTAAAGCAGTTATCTCCACTGAATAATTTTTTCTATGAATTCATCCATTAAAGGAAGACTTTTTGTTGAAATGTATGTGGTAAGGCTAACAGCAACAAGATGACAATAACACCAAAACAACAAGAAACAAAAAAATTCTAATATTTTGGATATATATTTTATTTGACAGTGTTTTAGAATATCATACAGTAAACAAGATTTATGTAAAAGTTAATTTAACCGTAGTGGTGCGTTTCATAAAAATAGTTGCTCACTTACAGCCTTTCTGTGACTATTAATACATGGAATTATATTTATAGAGATACAGCTGTACAAGGTAAATTCACAACTAACACTACACAGAAATATTATTTGGAATGGGATCTTGATGGCGTGCTGTTTTTACACGTTATCGATTACAGTTTCACTGTACAATTACTGCATGGGTAATTGCAATGGACTGTAAAAATAAAGAGTTTATAATCTAATTTATTTCATTTTTATCAGCTTGCTCACACCTTGAAAACAAGAATATTGGGACGTGCACGTTCACTACAGAAGCATTTTTTTTCCAAAAGTGGTTTCGGCAAGTTTAATGGCATCTGTCTAAGATGGGAGCTACAGGCAGGAACTAGCGGATGAACATTTGTAATGCTCTGTACTTGTGCTTCAATAACTTGGATGGAAAACATTTTTAAAGCTGCAAATTTTTATTTCAACTAGTATTTAGTTGCCACGTGTTTTCCAGACACTTACCACTGTAACATAAAATGCTTTTCATTAAAACAATACAAACTTGAAAATGTTTCTGGTAGAATTAAAGACCTGTATTAAAAAAAAAAAAAAAGGATATCTGAAGAAAGCAATGTTAGTGTTGCGAAATTAAATGCACCCTCATCCCTTTTCAGATGTTCTGCTAATATATATTTTCTTAGATTTTTAAGTATAATACACTAATGAAAATATGTTTCTCAATAGACTGTTCTCCACTGCTTTACAAATATAGTTAAAAGCTTTGAAAGTGCAATTGTGATTTTAATTGTCATCTCTACTTCATTACGCAATCCAGACTAATTGTATGGTTGAGTATAAGGCATTAAGGGTCACCTCCTTAAATTTGTTTTTTTGCTGTAATGTATTAGACCCTTTCCCATAATTGGAGCAATGTAAATTCTAATTTAAATTCTATATGACTGCAGGCCATAAACTGTTTAAAAAAAGGATCGTTGGTGATTCTTAATTTTAATCTGAGCTTGATGCTGAAGCATACCTTAGTCCATTTAGATAATTAGAAAATTCGGACTTGTGTGACTATTATGGGTGAAACATGGTGTATTGCTCACATTGAAGGGTTATAAAAGTGCAGATTTGCATTTTCACTCTGTAACCTACCTGTACCTCAAACTGTATTTTCCCAATACAAAGCCTTTTTAAAACACCTGATCGGTACCTTGATTACAACTGCAGCAATTCAATGTACTGCCCACTAAATACTGTGAAAAAAGATAAAATAGCAACATATTTCATGGGATGCGGCTTCAATACTATTCTTGCACTAGGACCTCGTTCTAAATTCCACCTGTGATGGAATTTCTCTAAGGAGCCCACTGTTTACTTTGTTCTGAAGAAGGCCTTTGTAAAATTAATTTGTAATTTTATCATGTTTTTTTTTAATTATTATTTTTTTATTTACTGGATCCCTACATACAGGTTTCTGCTACCTTGTAAAAATTCATACACACACAAACTGTTCTTGAAAGAGTACATATTTAACTCCAATTTCTTTAAAATGCACAGAAATATGGGTTATTCACAAAAATGGCAGTAAAATGGAGCCACATCAGTCAGTACACTAAAAATTTCAAAGTAACTGGCAGCACATACGATAACTGTATATGTTGCTTGTATCAGGCGGGTTAATGGAAATATAGTCCTTAGCGGACACATTATCCATACATTTCAGAGAAATACCATAACCCCTGTCTAGATATGTAGATAGCAATATATTTACAATACCATCGTCGAATTACAAGGCATATTTCATTTCTCCTTTCTCTTACTCAGTGCAGTTTGATTTAAGGCGATGTTCCAGTTTTTGATTGCTCTAAGTTTGTCCTTTATTTTGCTACAGACAAGACTGGAATAGATCCCATATCTTTCATGGAAAAGTACTAAAGCTATGCTGCACTGACTGTCTCAGGTGCACGTCTCGGTCTTTTGGTTCTTCCATAGCTGCTAGGGCCCAAAGAAAGGACCTGCAAGCTCCAGGTTTTAAAGTACTAAATTTACTGTACGTGTATCTTTGTACTTGTTAGACACCGTGCACCACCTTAAGGAAATACAAAATATATGCTCCTGGTCCCAGATGCTTTGTGTAGGTAAATGCGTGTGTGAGTTAAAATAAATAAAAATAAAAATTAAATTATTTGAGACAGAAGCTAAGAAAAAAGTTCAAAATCTAGGTGATACAATTAAGGGAAATAGTCACTTTATTCAGTTATCTGCTCATGGCTGAAGTGCCAGATTTCAGGATACTCGGTAGCTTATCAGAGCCAGGGATTTTCCACGGCCCTGGTGAGACTGTTGCTTTCCGAGTTGTAGTGTTGACACGGCGGGGGTTGCAGGAATGCTGTAGCCCTTCCTTGTGAAACTCACTGGATTTAGCTTCAGCATCTCTCTCGCCTTCCATAGCACTTACTTGAGAGTTGGAGACACTGCTACCATACACCTTTGAGACGTAACCTGAATCTGACCTACTCAGTTCAAGAGCTGTTGTGGACTTTTTCTCACTGGTTGCATCTTTGTATATATCATTTGTACAGAGGATCCCTTCTCTGCTTGCTTTAGTGGACCTGGATGTCCTACCTCCACCATCACCGGGTTCAGCATACCCACAATCTCTTGCTTCACTAATTGCTTGTTTCACAGTCTCTTTTCCTGCAGAGATGGTCTTGCGAGTTTCAGTATTTTTCTGCTTGCCTTCTTGAAATTCCTTTTTAGAACCCTCCTCACGCTTTGATCTGTCTACTTTCTTAGGGCTTGCTGACCTCTCCCTTGACTCTCCCAGTCGTTTCTTTTTATGACCATTTGCAGTTTGCTCCTTTGGTTTTCCCATATCATGTTCCCTGTAGATATCCCAATCTGGCTCTGGGTGTATCTGGTGAGTAGGGTCAGAGGGCAAGGCTAAATGTGATGAAGATAATGGTGCAATCATGTCATCAAGAGGAACGCCTACTTCCGGCCCTGGGGAGGTGGTAGAGGGTGAACTCCAGGAGTTTGGTTCGTCTGTGACAAAATAAAAAGAAATGCAATTTTACTTTAGAGATAATCTTAGAGATAAAAAAAACAACAACACAGTTTTCACAATCATGCAAAAAAAAAATGGCTGTATATAGTACTTTAGTCTTACTGAAAATAATAATTAGTCAAAATAAAATACTATCTAAATCTATGATTCTTAAACTGGCCTTCAAGGAGCAAATATGATGCAGTTATTATCATTATATTATATGTAATAAAATATTGTAACAGTGGTCATCAAAGGCTTGTTTGGTAAACACTGATCAACAAGACACAAACATACATTGATCTGAAAGGCAAATAAATATGCTTATTATCTTGACATATAAGACATACACAGGGTTATTTACCAACCCCAACAAGAGAAGTGTCTCCATCTAAAATCTAAATTTTAGGCTGAAATAGCTGAGCTGTGACTAGATCTGAGGAAAAAACTTTTCCATGTTACATCTTTTAGCCAAAATTCCCCATTCAGATTTATTTTTAGTATAATTCAGTGTTTAGTGAATAAGCCATCAGACAGGCATTACTGTGAGTTGTATATTTAACCCTTGCTTTGTAGAATAATATACATTTACCAAAATAACCTGACAACCAATTATCAACCAAATCTTCCTTTCAGACATGTGCAGTGCAAAAACAAATAGGTAAAACCAATGTGCTCTTGCAACCCTGCTGGTGCCCTCCATTAGATCCATATTTGATGCTTTAACATGCAGTAGAGCACAAAATTATCTTTTTATACAGCAAAAGGCTTGAGATTAGTCAATATAGACTAATGCATCAAATTAGTTTTAGGTATGATAAATAAGATATCACCCTGTGCCACTTAACTTCACTTGTCAGTGACATATTGGAGTTGTTTAGTCCATCCCTCTATCGTTATTATTATATTTATATAGCTCCAACGAATTCCGTAGTGCTTTACAATGGGTGGACTAACAAACATGTAATTGTAACCAGACCAGGTACAAGAATATTTCAGGGACCCCAAATGATTTCTAATTGACCCTCTCTCTGTTGTATATTTTAATCTTTAATCTCTTCTTTGTAATCTCTCTGCCACCACCTATCTCCCTTCAAGACAACTGTAGTCCATATTCACCCCCTTTATGTAACCAATTTGCACCCGGCCTCAGTCCCTTCTTTTCCTGTCTGTTGTCATCATCCAGCCCTTACCATGTTCTCTACTTTTCCATTGTATCCCTTGTCTTTCCTATTCCTTCCTCTACTATCTTCTATCATGCAAGACTTTATTTCTGCCCATTTCGTTCCACTATTCATTTACCCACTATTTTTAATTACAGACACTTTACGAGGTCCATTTTTCACCAGAACACAGAACGCTTCCAGTTTGTCTAATATCCCTGGTCTTGGGAGCAAAAGTGTTTCCACTGGTAATGATCTATCTGTTGTTATTTGTGTATGTGCTAAATATTTTAAAGAAAAAAGGCATTGGCACATAACATCAAACCCTGTTGCCTTAGATCTTTGAAGTCTAGAGAAACATGACCATCATTATTTCCCCTATATGCAAGACTATGCAATAGAGTCTTAAAATTATATGGTTGTCCATAAAATTAAACACATGTGTACAGTGAGGAAAAAAGTATTTGATACCCTGCTTATTTTGAACGTTTGTCCACTGAAGAAATGATCAGTCTATGATTTTAATGGTAGGTGTATTTTAACAGTGAGAGACAGAATAAAAAAAATTTAAAAAATTTCAAGAAAAACACGTCTAAAAAATTATACATTGATTTGCATGTGAATGAGTGAAATAAGTATTTGATCCCTTATCAATCAGCAAGATTTCTGTCTCCCAGGTGTCTTTTATACAGGTAACAAGCTGAGATTAGGAACACTCTCTTAAAGGGAGTGCTCCTAAACTCAGCTTGTTACCTGTATAAAAGACACTTGTCCACAGAAGCAATCAATCAATCAATCAGATTCCAAACTCTCCACCGTGGCCGAGAACAAAGAGTTGTCCCAGGATGTCAGGGACAAGATTGTAGACCTACACAAGGCTGGAATGGGCTGCAAAACCATGCTTAAGCAGCTTGGTGAGAAGGTGACTATTATTCGCAAATAGAAGAAACACAAAATAACTATCAGTCTCACTCGGCCTGGTGCTCCATGTAAGATCATACCTTGTGGAGTTTCAATGATCATTAGAACAGTGAGGAATCAGCCAAAAAGTACACAGGAGAATATTGTTAATGATCTCATGGCAGCTGGGACCATAGTCACTAAGAAAACAAGGTTTGTCTGAAGTTTGCCAATGATCATCTGAATGATTTAGAGGAGAACTGGGTGAAAGTGTTGTGGTCAGATAGGACCCTAATCGAGCTCTTTGGCATCAACTCAACTCGCCGTGTTTGGAGGAGAAGGAATGCTGCCTATGACCCCAAGAACACCATCCCCACCGTCAAACATGGAGGTGGAAACATTGTGCATAGGGGGTGTTTTTCTGTTAAGGGGACAGGATGCACCGCATCAAAAGGACGGGGCCATGTACCGATCTTGGGTGAGAACCTCCTTCCCTCAGCCAGGGCATTAAACTGGGTCGTGGATGGGTATTCAAGCATGACAATGACCCAAAACACACAGCCAAGGCAACAAAGGAGTGGCTCAAGAAGAAGCACATTAAGGTCCTGAAGTGGCCTAGCCAGTTTCCAGACCTTCATCCCATACACAATCTGTGGAGGGAGCTAAAGGTTCGAGTTGCCAAACCTCAGCCTCAAAACCTTAATGACTTGGAAAGGATCTGCAAAGAGGAGTGGGACAATATCCCTCCTGAGATGTGTGCAAACCTGGTGGCCAACTACAAGAAACGTCTGACCTCTGTGATTGCCAACAAGGGTTTTGCCTCCAAGTACAAAGTCGAATACTTATTTCACTCATTGACATGCAAATCAATTCATAACTTTTTTTGACATGCGTTTTTCTGGTTTTTTTTTGTTGTTGTTATTCTGTCTCTCACTGTTAAAATACACCTACCATTAAAATTATAGACTGATCATTTCTTTGTCACTGGGCAAATGTTCAAAATCAACAGTAGATCAAATACTTTTTTCCCTCACTGCATAATTCTACAGAGTAACTAGTCAGGAACAGATTGGGGTAAGTGATTATTACTTCCACATTGCCTGATAAAATAAAAAACTGTAAGAGTTTATGGGCACGAAAAGTTTGATGGCATGAAAAAGAAAAACAAATATTGTCTGGGAACAAAAACATATTTGTTAATATCTGACAGAATACACAAGATCTAGCAGAGGACACATTGTAATGTCATTAAATTTATTGCTTGAATGTCAAATGTCTATCTTGGCTATACACATCTTAATATAATTTGATGTCTGGGGCATAGAGTAACCTCATGCCAACATTCAGGTGATTAGGTTAAGAAAATTCAGTTTTCTGTTTCTTTTGCATAAAAGAGTGAACAGTGATTTTTTTTAAATGTGCTTAATCTGCATATTATGCCCATATTAACATTGGCTAAAATCTGTAAAGCAGATTTTTTAAAACAACAAATACATTGTTAAATTTTGACAATGGAAAATAAGGTGCTCTGGAGTTTTTTGTGAATTGACTCTGTTCTTCTTGATTTGTTTTGTAAACATATTTACAATACATATTGTTGTCACATTGCACCCATTCGTTTGATTATTTCTCACTTAATTTTTTTGCCCTCTGGAATTTTAATATTTCTGCTATAATGTGTTCCCTTTGAATAGGTGCACTCACAGTAGAATTATTTTAATGTATATTTTCTTCCCAGCTGTAGTTATTTGTGATTTTCACACTGATGTCAGTGAAACTTTGCTAAAAGTGATAGAATGTTATCAGAACACATTGCAGTTTGCTCCGTATAGGGCTGCATAACCCCTGTCCACCACTGAAAGGGCATTTAATGGGGACATGAGAGGCAAAACTGACCCAGTAAGCAATGGAAGATGGTTTAATGAATCAACTAGGAAGACATAAATCTAGATCCTTGTGACTACATTAGTGTTTATTATTTGTGTTACTTTAACCTTTATATAACAAAGTTATGCAATTATAATTAATTTTATCCAAAATGCAAATCCATAAGATGATACCACTAGTTTTGTTACATGTTAACTTGCTACCACAGGGAATTATATAATTTATTAGGAACTCAACATGTGAATATTTGTGGTAGAAATAAATGCCCCAGGGAAAGGGCTCCAAGTTTCAATTAGCTCAACATTTTCCAGATAAGTAGTAGCCACAAAGCAGACATTTTTGCTGTGGAACTAACTGTTATCAAGGCTCAGCCAGATGCAGTCCTTTTAATGCAACATAGTAGATCTACAGACTTTATGTAATTATTCTAAACTAGCAGTCAATTTAGTGGAGTGAAAAGAGTTAACAGTGTCTGAATTTCGCTTATGTAATTCATCTATGCCTCCCTTTAAATTTATTTTGGATTGCGTCCATTTTAAGTTAACCTATAATTTATTTTGGTTTAAATGTCAGTATTACTTACAGTTATGTGGAACATACAAATTAATTTGGGGAAATAGTCCTTGTGTGGGCAAACCTGGTGCTCTGGAGTTGGTATATCAATTTTTTTTTTTTTATAATTTGGGAGGAAGGCAGAACGATTTTAGAAGATTTTGTTTCTTTTATCTCTCATAATGATTATTGGATTTAAATTTACAGTAAGGGTTGAGGAGACTTCAATTGATTTTTAAAAAATGTATTTATTAAAATCTGAAAATCCTGTAGTAAAATATTCTGCAAGCCAACAGACTGAAGCATTGAATTTTCACATTTTCAGTACATGAATGGCTTAGAAATGTACCAATAGCCAACCAGCTTGGAGTGAAAGAAACTGCACATTAGCAAATGATTATGAAAAATGAAGTAACATTTAGGAAA